TACACAGGGTCCCAGTTACATCCAACAAAAGTATAAAATGTAAAAGAAAAACAGTAATAAGATCCAAGATACGAACTAAGAAAAACGTTAAACTAAAAATGCGCCAAGCACTAGTAGTACAAAAACAATACGTCGAACAGCAGCACGAACATGAGTCTGTGTGAGCAGATGAGTACGAATTAACACAGCAACATGAAATGAATCAGCAGCATGAGATCAGCAGCGCATCTCAACAATCAAGTGGCATTACAGTGATTTTTTTTTTCACAGTGATTATTCTAGTTAGAGATTCATGAGTCTAACAGCCTCAGGGTAGAAGCTGTTCCTCAGTCTAGTGGTTCTACACTTAATGCTCCTCAACCTCCTTCCTGAGGGGAGCGGGGCAAAAAGTGTATGTGCTGGGTGAGTGTGGTCCTTCATGATGCAGGTGGTCCTCTTCCTGCATCTGGAGGTGTAGATGTCTGAGATGGTGGGGAGACTGACTTCAACAGTTTTCTGTGCAGCCTTCACCACTCTCTGCAAAGCTTTTCTTTCTGCAGCTGTGCAGCCTCCATGCCACACGTTGATGCTGGAGCACAGGATGCTCTCCACTGCACACCTGTAGAAGGAGGTGAGGACTGAGCTTCCCAGTCCAGCTCGTCTCAACCGCCTGAGGAACTCATGAGTTTCCTTACAAAATCGTAATGATGTTTTCTTTATTTTTATGGGGTGCTTGAGCACCCCCAAAAAGAGGCTAAAATCACCACTGGCTGAATCTCAGAGTGGTAGTAGCCGAGAGTCATTGACGACACACGGTCCAAGCTCTAACTGATCGCATGTAACACCTTTTTTAAGGTTTGACCAGAACTGCGTCATTTCTCCACATACACTAATCTTCTGCATGTCTGAAGTCCTGGGATGGATCAAATGCGTTCCTTCGAATAACGATGGACCTTTAATCAAAGATGTTTACATTAAATTAAGAAGTTTAGTTTGTCGGGTTGACTCGTAGCAGACAGGTGATGTATCTTCTGCTGCTCCTTGCTTGTTTCTTTATTCTCAGTCACACGCACCGAGCTCTTACACTCATTAGTATGCTGTCCGGACTTATTTTGCTTCCCACTGACATTTACATTTAAATTGTTTATCTGCCTGTTTGTGTGTGTGTGAGTGTGTATCTGTAATGAGCATGTCCTTGCTGGTCCCTGCAGGCAGCCATCACTAACACACACACACACAGAGGAGGAGGAGGAGGAAGAGGCTGAGAATCCGTCTCGGTGTAATGATGCAGGATTTAAAATTTCCATTTGAAATCATTTATGATTTGAAGGTTGTTGAAGTGTGCTGCTGTTCTTGGTTGAGATTTATTTGCAGATTTACATTTGGGTACATTTTACAGCAACACTCGGGACAGTTTGCAGTTTTTTTTTTTCCCTTGAGCTCGTCTGCAGGATCTCAGCCTCTGAAAACTGGGGCATCTCTGCTGTTCTCAGGATTAAACGGCGTCGGGCGGCACGTTGGACTGCAGATGATCACATTTCGTAACAAGAACTCACAGTTCTGCAATCAAACAAACTGTGTAATTAAAAAAACCAATAGGATCCTAATCAACTGATCATAATTATAGAGCAGAGCTCACCATCCTTCGGCTGTTTTTGATCAGGAAAATACAATGTAGTCAATTTATATTTTTAGAAAGTCGTATAAACAAATAGTTCTATACCAGATCAATTATAGCTCAAAGTATGTGTTAGAGATGACTCTGAGCTACTACCACAGCAGATTTTAGCTCAGTATCTGCAAAACTTTTTGTGTTTTCTAAGAATGATTAGCTTTGATTTACATTATCTCCAGAATGTAAAATGCTCATCCACTGGTTCGTGAGATATTTTGCTAACAGACAGATGCACAAACACGTTGACATGTTTCAAACTCAAAAAACTTCACCTAAAAAAGTTCACGTTGCTAACATTCGCATGTGATTTCTTTGTTGCGCTCTGCTGAACTGACGGTAGGATTTTTGATGAACTTGATGCCGTACGTCAGGAAGTTTGGTTTAAAGTGTCAAAAAAGGAATAAGCGGGGAGGAGACTCGTTAATTTTCTGTTGAAAACTTCATCAGGACCTGCAACAAAAGAGAGGATGAGGAAAGTTTAGGAAAATAAATACAGGTATGGAACGCCAAAATGCTCAAAATTAAATAAATAAATAAATAAAGCATTGTGAAATAAGTATCTATTATGAAAAAAAAATCATTTTTATTGTTTTATTTCATAATTGTGTTTTTCATGATACCTCATTTATTTCATAATGACTCTTTTCAGCAGAATGACTTCAGCTGTCAATCAACATCAGTGGGTTGGACCTTCACGCCCACTCGCTCATCATTAGTTTTCCTGAATACCTGCTCACTTGTACAGCTAGTGTAGCAGCTAGCATAGCAGCTAGTGTAGCAGCTTACATGGCAACTAGTGTAGCAGTTAGTGTAGCAGCTAACATAGCAGCTAGTGTAGCAGCTAAC